TCGATTCGTCATCATATACTACCTGTCCAACCAAGATGATGTGTACACACACATGCACACACACAACACACACACACACACATACAGCAACCAACAAGTAAACGAAAAGATGACGTGAACACACACACACACACACACACACACACGCACACACACATGGACACACACAACACACACACACACACACACATACAGACGACGCCAAGAAGATGCGTGAAATACCTACCATTGCCAAATTCGAATTACTGCCGCCACTGCTGCAAGGGCATCACAGAAAGATGTGTGCCTCTCGTGAGGGCATTTCAAGGACGGACCGACGAAATGCAACCAGTGGTCCAGTAAGGGCATGACGGAAAGTTACGCACCACAGTGACAGGGGCCTGTGGAAAATTTCAGAGTCCCCAGGGGCATACCAGGGTAAGTCGGCCTTCACAGGGGCACGCCACAAATAAACGCAAACTTCAGGGGCATGTCGAAAATTTTCCCAAAAATTAATCAAACAATCAATCAATCAATCAATCACAATCAATCAATCAATCAATCAATCAATCAATCAATCAATCAAGATTACTTTTATTTTTTATTTTTAATCGTTTTTTACCCACAGCCCTCCCCCCCCAAAAAAATCGTTTTTTTTTTTTTCCCCTTTTCTGTATGGGGTGCGGTCCGGGTTCCGGAACCTCAATCCACAACTACTCCCAAGTCGCGGCCGCGGCGGTCATGAACGCGAGGTTGCGGCCATGATCCGAGCTCTGGTCACTACTGAGGCTACTGGCGGTCGGGGGGATCTGTAATCTATGGTGTCAGAGTTAATTTATAAGAATGGACCAAGGACTAACTGGATTAGACTATTATTATCTCCATGTATGTATAGACTTGTGATTCACGTAGAGCTCTGTGAGTTCCACGGTTGAGGGGATTCGTAATCTATGATGTCAGAGTTTTTCGATAAGAATCGACCACGGACAAACTGGATTAGACTATAATTATCTCACTCCGGTGCAGTTACTTCATGATTATCTCCATGTATGTATGGACTTCTGATGTACGACGAGCTCTGTGAGTTCCATCTACTGTCTGCTCTTGGGGACAGAGAGCCAACTGTTCAACCGATTGAAGAATCTGATGTGTAATCACCTGTTCTATGATAGTTGTTGTTAGATGAGCTGATGTCCATGGCTGCACCCGCCGACGTCCCATCTTGTCCATCGCTGTTGAAACTCGATTGATGGTTTGATTGTTGCCTTGGGCGCCGGGCTGTTTTATAATAATACAAAAGTCCTTCAGGAAAGCAAAAGGGAAGAAGTTGGAAAATATCCGTGAACGTTCACTTATGCCGTAAAACCCCCTAAAAGATGACGGTAGAGTGGAAAACCCCTCTGAATTTTCTCTCCGCTTTGAAAATTTTGGACCATTTCTGGATTATGACTGTCATCCTTGCGCAGGGTCCGTTATGTGGAAAATTCCAGAAGTTTGTGAAATGCTCTTTGCTTGGATTTAAATTTTAAAACCGTTGGCACGGGGTTGCCGTGTTTGTGCTATACACCTGTAAGGGGCAGAACGCAATCTTGCACCTCCACCTGACAGGGGTAAAGGGCATTTCACAAGCTTCTGAAAAAATTCCTTTGAAATTTCCGAGGGGTGTTGCCATCTTCCCGCATCTTTTGGGGGGTATTTCAGCATATACGAGAGCTTTCAGGGGTACAAATTTTCCTGAAAAGAAAATACAGCCTTATACAGGTACGAAATTCAATGAATAGGAAGACTAGAAGACGAATAAGAAAAATCGGGAACATTGATTGCGAGATGATCTTTTTTGCGGAAAACGAAATATATTCCTGGCGGTGAATTCCATTTACTCTTCGTGCTGGGCGTTCAAGCACAAGAGAGTAAAACGGCTAAGTGTGTCTGTTCGTTTAAAAAGCGTTGAGAGACAGTGGCGCCATGAGATAGAGAACCAGTGAGCGCAAACACAAGAAAAGGATCATAGCAATTAATGGGAAGAGCAAAGCATACACTCCACAGGGACCAACAACTCGTGCTACGCGCAGACACACTCCAATCATGACAGTTTGTGGGGGGACACGCAAACACGTTGATACAGGAGAAAAATGCCCCGATTTCAAGAACTTAAACATATCCAGAAATTTATTGGTAAACACAATATTTCTTTACCAGAACAGCTCATATTCACGCTAATATCCCACTTCGTGCCTCCGCGGTCGAGATACTCCCTCTGAATTCAACTGCAACGCGGAGCGCCTTCTGTCGACTCGCACTGAGTCTCTGAGGATGTGCGTCACACACACACACACACACACATTGAGCAAGCGAGCACGCGACCAAAAGGAAGGAAGAGAGAGAGAGAGAGAGAGAGAGAGAGAGAGAGAGAGTGACACACACACACACACA